ATGCAAAGGGACAGACTGTGTTTGTCTGTCTGCACTACTTTGGAGAGTTGTCAGGGTAGAACAGGCTGTCTTCATCCCACACCACAAGCTCCTGGTTGCTGTGATGATCCACAGTCCCAGATGTAGTAATTCACAGCGGGTTCTAGCTGACAGAGGACTAACCACCATCAGGGCTCACAGGGAGGAACAGCTGACTGTGGCCGAGGGGCCAGCACAGAGCTAACGAAGGGGATGTAAGATATGAACCTTCGAACATGGTTTATTAATTACAAATGACCTTCCTGGACTGGTTGTGATAGCAATGAGGGATTTGTATTCAGTTTAGTTTAGATATCCTGCTTGAGATGTTTGACTTGTGTGAAACTAGAGACTTTATGGCTGCACAGTCTCAAGGGGGTTGGAATATTTTCCGAAGAAACTGTTCCTCAGCAGCTTGGCCTCCGCTCAGAGGGAGTCATTTCCCACAGAATACAGTGGGTATTGACTGATTCTCTGTTGTTGGAAACCAACATAAAGACATGAACTCGGCGTCATAGGAAGGGAGCAGGTGGGTAAGACGGGGGTCTGTCATTGAAATGTTCAAGTGAACATGTTGTGTGACAAGTGAAGAAAAAGGCCCACAACACCTCCGGGGCTTTGGCGTTTGATTGCCAAACTCACAACCAAATCCAATGCATATTAATTTACTCCTACACCGTGAATGGAGCCAGTGCTAACAAGTAATTAAATGCGATAGTATGCCTCAAAAGAACGTACCAGTCGGGTCGGATGATTTCACAGTAATGAAACATGCAGACGTCTTTACATTTATTGCCTTGAGTCAAGATATTTGCATTTGTTGCTAAGAATACACACTCCACAGTTGTAGCTGGATCTCCGTGGCCGTGTGTGGGCAAACTTTATCTGGGAAGTCATGGTAACATAAACCACTTGAAAGGAAAATCCCAGCCACAGTTATTAGTCTCCTGAAATAAATGTTATTGGAACGTTCATCTTATGTCTCGGTGTCACATTTTGAGCTGTTTTCTCCACTCAAAGTGATCCATGAACCGTCCCCCTCATTGTCATTGCTTCTGCCGAAAGCTTGTCTCAGCGTAACACTTTAATAGCACTTTAATTTATGGCTTGTATCTCAAAGTGCTGAACAAGAAAATGCATCATTTAACAGAATTTCCCAACTGCTCGGATTTAGCCGTATAGCCGGCTGTAAAAACCAAAAGCAGTGAGCTAAAACAGAGTTGGGTCATAACCGTATATGATTTTGACAATAATAACGACCTTTTGACATCACACGCGGAGCCGTTTGATTTTGTTTTGATATTAGAAATATTGATCGGCGCAGGTTCCCATTCAGAGATCAGATAAATGTCGGGTTTGGCTCCCAACTTTTTCTCTGCAGCCAATTTTGCAGTAATTGCCGATTGAGGTCCAGTTCTAATTGTGGACTGAACCGACCCGTCCTTGTGGTTCTCAAGATGCTGTGATGGCAAGAGGTGGCTGTCCGAATCAATCAGAATTTTGTAGCTTAATGTCCAATTAGTATTCCAAGGTCCTTTAAATAAGCAGTTTGTCAACATTGTCAAACACCGCGCACTGTTGCGCTTGTCCTTGGCATATGGGCCAATCAGAATTTGATGAAGCATCCAATCAACACAGATCACAGGGAGCCAGCCAGCGCTTAAGTGTCCATGTCACGGTGTGTATTAATTTGATTTATAATCCGCGGTGTGTGTGCATGGAGTGCGTCATGGAAAGCCGTGAGGCCAAGAACACAATGAAACTCCTGGCCCTTGTCTTTATTAGCTTGGCTGCCTGCCTGCTCCAAAGAGAGAGGGAGAGATGGAGGAGGATGTGGATACTCATCCCCACATGGTGGCATAAAGAGGCAAGTTGGAAAGAAAGCATAGCTTGGTAGGAGAGAAATAAAACCTACTGATTTGATATTTCATTGTTGCAGATGGTTTGTTCAAGGTGCTTCTTCACCAAAAATCTTTAATTTCCCAGGAACTAATGTCCAGAAAGCCTCCCAGAGAATTGTTATTTACGTTTCCACAGCAGGTCCACAGTTTTTAAAAATGTATAACAATGCTGCAGAAAACGCTAGTGTGCTTGACCAATCAGCAGCATTCAATGCTTCAAGTCCCAACCCGAAAGAACCTGAACCTCTGCAAGGTACTCGCCCTTGAGCAGAGACTTTTTGACGGGTAAAACTATCTCCCCAGAATTTAATTTAGAACCTGGCTCCTCGGGTGGAAAGATGGGGAACTGAACTCTGGGGAAAGATCCTCTGGTGGAAAACCCACCTTTTGTTTTTTACTTTAGTGCCTGGGGCAGCGCACACAGAGTTCCTCTTCCACTGAGCTCTTCGTATCCAAAATGAAAAAGATTACAGAGGAAACACACAGAGCCTTGCTGTTACACAGATGGTCCACCTGAGCACCTCATGAATGAAATATGACAGAACAGTCATGTCACTAACTGCAGGTAGCACACGCACCGACAGACTTAAAGAGATGTACATGACCACTCACGCTTCACTCCACTTACTCTCTTAGTGGACTAAGTAAGTAATCCCCATTGCAATTACCCTTCCTTTATAACAGGTTGCACACTTTGTAGTTCTGCCTTACTCTTACCACAGCAGGTATGCCACCCCTGTTTGCAGGCTCACTTGACCCAATTAGTGTCAAATCAGCTTTTAAATACTGTTGTAACTAGTGTGCATTCAGATGTAACAGCGACTGATAACTGATTGAATGAAAGTAATATGTTTTTTTGTGGAAAGCGATATTAATATGGCAGATCAGTTCAATTTAATGTAGCAGAAAGACATATTTTTTATGAATTTATCTACTTGGGGAAACAATTGGATGCTCTGTTGATGAGAGATGGTAATTCCAGTGTGGTAGGGAACTCGTCAGGCTAATTGGACGGGTGACAGATTTTTTAAAGAGCCTCTTTAAAGGTAGAGGAGTGGGTCTCAGTTGGGCTTCTTTGAAAATCATTGCAGAATTCTTAATATTTTTGAACAAAGGCTTTGTTTTGTATTTTTGTAAGTAGTAACAATCCCACAATATAAAACTCATTAAAGAAAGTTTTGTCATGAGGGAAAACAATCTTAACAAATAACGGCGCTTTAATTAAACAAAAATATACACAACAAGAACAACTGTGTGAGAGTTGGATGCAGGGAATCGGTACCAACTTTTCACCATCAAGGTCATCATAGAAATGATATGAGAAGCTGACAGGCATGTAGAGACCGAGACGCTGGCAGATGGACAGATAGGAAAGCTGCCAGGTAGACAGGCAGAGAAATCAACAGATGTCCATAGAATCAGACAGTGACTGACAAGACCACATAGACAGGAGATGTACTTTTCTGAGGTTGTCGATGCCACTTGAGTAAGGGCTGTGGAGGAGGAAAAAAAAGCTTCTGAAATTGAAAGAGAGCGGCATTGCTTCAGTGAAAGCTGGCACTTTTTCCCTTCCTCAGCTGTGTCATCTTCTCTGTTTGCCCCGGAGCGCCTGTTCTCAGCATCAGCCTCCATGTCAGGGCTCATCTCACAATCTCTTGCTCTTTTTTATCTTCGTCCCCCTCCCCGAGCCCTTCTCCTGCAGCCTCCTTCCAAAGGTCATATGAAGAATAGAATCTCATTTTGTTCAACTCGATAGACAAATGTCTACAGATACAGGACGGAGGGAGAGAACGTAATGCACTGAAGCAAAATATAAAGACAATGTGCCGGATGTGATGGTTGTCATACCTGAATTTGTGTGTGTGTGTGTGTGTGTGTGTGTGTGTGTGTGTGTGTGTGTGTGTGTGTAATGAACGTTGATGCAGCAGCATGATCTTCCAGATTAAAGTCTTTGGGGTCATGCCCTCCATTCAGTCCTGCCAAACCGCCAGTGAGTGAGTGAGTGTGTGTGTGTGTGTGTGTGTTGAGGTGGACTGTGATGCTCAGAGTTCCAATGAACAAAAGAAAACATAAATCAAGATTATTTATTTATATTTTTCTTGGAGTTTGTCTAGTGTTGATAATTAATTATTGATTGCTTAATCTTTGACTAAGTGATATCTCATTCTTCATTAACATGTATATACAAGACATGTGGCAGCTGACTGATCTATTGATTCAAGGTTAGCTCTGCCCTGATGTGTGGATCCATTCAAAGGAGCTACTTGTAAGTTTTGCTAATGCTACAAAGCTAACATTAGCATTGACAGCTGTTTCCTCACCAGTGTACAGGAAACATCAAACTTCATTCCTTTATTTGCCAAGAGCTGTTTCCAGCAGTGTCAACGCAGCACCACCGTTAACTCGACTGAGGTTAGCATGCTAACCAGCTAGCCCCCATCCATCTCGTTGCTTTTTTCCGATAGCGCCTCACTGAAGCCGCCGATCTGCCCTGAAGACGTAGCGCCGCTCAGAGGGCGTATTATAACCTCTTTGTCTTGTGAACACAACGATCGGTAGAAGCTCTTTATCAAGCATCAATCACCAACACCTGCTCCCGGCATGAAACCGTGTTTGGTGGCAGAGAAAACGTACAAATAAACCCTTTTAAAGAATGAAAGAAAGCGAAGCCCAAAACCAAAAGAGAGGGGTTTTTAGCAGTGTAGTTCTTCTGCCTCGTCAAGTAAGGATTCATTATTGTGCCTAAATCTATTATCTGGGTTGTTTGGCAAGAATCTGTCGTCACATTCAGATGCTGTGTGATTATTTTTTTTTGTTCTGCATTGAATTTATTCGTTGGCCCCTTAACTAGTTTCAGTGACAGGTTGACTAACAGCCGTTGAAACTGAAATCACATTACGCCTAAATTGTATTACATAATGATATGTATCATAGCAATGGAGAGAAAAATTATATTTTAAACATCATTATCCAGCCATCTGGGTCTGGACGAACCGTCATATGAGTTGCAGGATTTGTGGCTGAGACACTATTGACTTCACATCTTCTTATACACTGTTGTTTTTCCTTTTTTCCCCCCAGATGATGAAGCACGCATGGGACAGCTATAGACAGTATGGCTGGGGTCATAACGAGCTGAAGCCCCTCGCCAAGAAAGGACATTCCACAAATATCTTTGGTAAGCCAGACAAGCCCCTCCGTCCCACTGCTGTCTTTGCCCATTGGCAGTGTGCTCACACCGTTGTAAATCACACATGAATGCACACACACACTCTTGTCTTGCTCACATGCATACACACACACACACACATACACAAACAGGCGCCCTGTCTTTTCTCTCGTGGACAAGGTTATGTGATAACGCCTCCAGCAGGATGCATATCACTTTGGGAGGAGTGCTTGCGAACAGAAGCACAAGATCACTGAAACCACAGGCAGAGAACACACAGCAGTGAAATTACAGATAACAGAAAATCATAAAATGTATTTGAAGCATTGGTAATATTTCACTTGTCTTTATCCACTGTATAAATCTATGGAGCTGTTATTTTGTTAAACCATGGAGCAGTGCTGTAAGCACACAATGATGCTGTGTTAGGTCTTAATGAACGTGTACAATTTCAGCAGCGCTGATGCCTTTATTTAAAATAATCACATTTTCTGGTTAACAATATTTAAACCTGAATGAGTCTGTCTCACAGTAAAACATTATAGAGTTAGATTTTGCATTAGACAGTGGGAGTTAAACACATTTTCAGGTCTTTGTCAGGGTCCAGTCACCAGGGAGAATCCTGTTTACAGAGAGAGAGATTTTGCCGTTGGCAGTGATCATTTTTCCCACAGAGAGGTCAGTCCAGTGCAGCCTCACATCATCTGTGATTTGTGTTTTGGAGGCAGTTTTCTTTTCTTTCTTTTTTTTTTTTTTTTTTTTGGTATCCACCTCTGCAGCTGCCGTCTGTGATAACACCGATCACACAGCTCGGACTGCACTTGTCACGGCAGGAGAATTTTCACACCTTTGCAAGCCGTCCCAGAACACTTCCAGAGCAATGGCAGTGTTAGTGACTTTTAAGCATTGGGCTCGGATCAAGTGTTTTTCACAGAAATACACATGGAAGTTTTTAAGATTAAATAATGAGCTTAATAGATAAACAAAAAAATACTGCACGGACAAGAAAACTCTGAATATCCTATGATAGATTTGGTTTAAAGTGAGACCAGAGGCCTGTACCATGAGGCAAGATTAGTGGGGTTTTTCCCCTATCATGAAGCTGGCTCACTTTTAACCAGGATTTCTCTGGCTCCTTAAAAAGTCTAAAATCCAATGATCTTAAAGTGTCTTAAAGACTGGTCTTGAAAATTGATTGGATCATGCACACACTACAAGATTTGAAAATAATAGTTCATCGCACACTCCATGGGAATTATGAAGATCGTCGTGCCAGAGGGAGCAGTCACGGAGCAGTGCACCTCACATGATCTCCTCTCATGTGATCCCATAGTGAAGCAGATATAAACAAAACGGAGACTGGTGAAACAACTTCCTGTGATGTTAATACTTTGCAAAAAAACAAAAGCCAGAAGCCTGAATGGGTCTGGATGAGAAAATGATTCGTGAGAAGTGTTCAACACGTCTGTTGTCTGTTCTTCAACAAGAACTGGAGGTGAGATTTTAACTGTCAGGTTTTATATCTGTCGACAGTAGCATGCTAACCAGCGTTAGCCTCAAGCTCTAGAATGCTTGTCGTTGCTTGGCAACACCCTCAGCTGCTCAGGGAGTGACGTAATCATAGTCCTGATTTGAAATCCTAAATATCAAACATATGTAAGATATTATTGATGCGACCCTGATGAGTCTAGGATGAATCTGGGTTTAAATCGGCCCAAAGGCTCCTTCTCTTTCAGGTGAACGCTCTCGTAGCTGGATAGGAAAACTCAAGAGTTAGTTGATAACCAGCTTCGTCACTGTGGTTATCCAGGATGGCTGATGTTAGGCCCGGTGAAGCAGATAACCCCAACAGAGCCTGACTGAGTTGGACTTGCTTCCCGGTGCAGGCCCCATTAAAAACATCACTGATTTGAATCGTTAGTGGAGAAATACCCGAGTTGAACCTCATTTTCATCACTGCACTCTTTTCTTGCAGCTGCATGATTGCACACAGAAGCAAGGCAACACGGCAGGCTGCAAACACTCCCAGCATTTTGTCACTATTTCCAGCGTCGACACTCCAGAAAATCTGCCTTTTTTTTTTTCACACTTGCTCAGCTCCTTGGCCTTCTCTGCTACTACGCCTTCCTCGCTTCTCAGGCGACAGCGTGTCTTCTTCTTCTTCTGTGGTCTTGTAGCTGTCACAGTGGATAAGGGATGTGCATAGATATCCAGAGATCTACAGGCCACAGACACATGGAATAGAGATAATATTTATAAGCACATTTCCTGGCTGGATGAATGAATGAATGATGGATATCATACGAGGTGCCTGTGCTCTCTTTTCTTCCCTTGTCATGACTGAGGGAATTATTTGAACTTACAAATCATATGGCTGAAAAAATCAAAGAAAATAAATCTGCCATATATATAAATATCAATAGATGTAATAGATGTATTGGTTATTTTAGAATAAAATTCTGAATAATCAGTATTTATATTGATGTCAAGAATCCCGTTGTGTTTGTTTGTCTGAGTGTTTATGAGTTGCCAGTTTGACTTGTGCGTTTCTGCGTGCGTGTTTGTTTCTGTGTGTGTGTGTGTGTGTGTGTGTGTGTGTGTGTGTGTGGATGCATGCTTATGAGGCTTTTGTGTCAAATTGGAATGTTCCGTCTGGCAAATTGGCCAGAGGCGCCTGTGTTATTTTATGAGCCGCTGCTAAATGGTAGATAGATGCTGTTTGTGTGTGTTTCCATTTGTTGGTGTTCTTGTATGTGTGTGTGTGTGTGTGTGTGATTGTTCATCTGCAGCATTTCTTTGTGTCTTTCTTAATGTGTGTGTGTGTGTGTGTGTGTTGACCAGTATTGCGGCTGTTGTTATTTTCTCCTGCCTCCTTGTAATGGCTGAGACGAGTCTGGCTATCTGCAGGTTATTCGTCACAGGGTGGCCAACAAAACACAAGCGGGATACCAGGCAAAGAATCAAGCCTCAGACTCCTCACAAGACACACTTCCATTATTGATGAGGTGTATCCTGTCCTCCTACAGAACTTGGCTGTATTGATTGTGTCTGTGTGTGTTTGTGTGTCTTTGAGAGAATAGTCCAGAGAAGAGAAAGTGGTGTATTGGAGATGCAGCAGACCCTCGCTGCTGTGTTGCTGTAACTGTCAAGAGCATTGACAGCTGGTGGCAAAGGGACACACACACGCACAAAGGCGGGGTGATTGGATGAAACGGGGCTTGCTGATCGATTGTGGATTGAAATCGCTTTGATGCTTTGTCATTTTAAAGTGATAGAAAAGCCAATCCGAGACATTTTAACTCGAGATGTGCAGCTGCCTTCAGGAGCCGAAGGGAAACGTAGAAATACTTCTCTCTGCTAACCGAGTTGGCGCAGCGTTGTCCTGAGTCGTCTTCGTGCCTGACACAAGCATTACAATAGTTTGCATACAGTTTGCTTCATTTAAACTTGCCCTTTCACGTAGTTGTTAAAGAGACAAAGGGTAAAGCTGTGTGTGCTCGCTCCACACCTTCCAGCTCGGTCTTAATCTGTCCACAGAGAAGAGGACAGGCCAGAATGGTAACAGGAGGACTGGGGCTCTCATTGTGGCACCAGGCTCAGATAAACTTGAGTTCACTGCCTGACCCTGTTTTGTCCTTTTTCTTTTTTTTTTCTTTCTGCTCTGTGGAGAATGAGTAGAGCTGATTTTGAGTACAGATACAAACGCGGTCTTTGTCTCGAGGGTAAGCGGTTCAAGCAAGGATAACGCACGGCCTTGTAAAGGGAAACACAGTTCAAGCCCGGTTAAGAAAAAGCACAGGTCAAGCAGTGTCAGACACAGCCAGCAAGGTGCCTCACACTCACGCTCACACTGCAAAGACTCCATGCTGACAAAGACCGAGCCAAGATCGAGGCTTATTTTAAGATATTCTGAAGATGATGAAGTCAAAAAATGGTTCTTGCACATTGTTCTCTTCTCGTACTGTCAGTTTTAGAACCAGGCTGCATCGACTCACACATTGTATTATTGTATTATTTACATTTTGGTCTCTTTTAGTTCACTCAACAAATCATTTAATGGGTAAAATAAACAGCAGATTGATTGATGATAAAAAATAAGTGTCAGCTGCAGATCTAATAAACTACCTTATTGAACTAACTTCCTCCACAAACAGTGTCGGGGCTCCTTTTCACGTCTTCTGCCTTGATCACAGTCGCTCCGTCCTCATTGGTGAGACTGTTCCTGCAGGTGATAGACATCTCTATTCATCTCTATGTTGTTACTCTCTCTGCCCCCCTCCCCTCCCCACATGCACACGGGGTACTGATACCCATGGGTAATTGTATGAGGAGCGTCAGCCACCATTGATTCAGGCTGAAAGCGTTTGACCCTCGTTGAGGTTGTGGGTCAGGCAAAGCAAAGGCCCGGGCTTCACCGGCAGCTGAAGTGGCCTTGTTTGTTCTGGGTGGACAGCACAGGCTCTGATCTTTAAACACACTCCTCAGTGTTTGCTGGAAAATGCTCTCAGGGGATGCAGGTCAGCTTACACGATGAGGACTTCAGTGCGAGTGTAAGTCCACACCACTGTCTTCCAATACCTCTGGGGTGAGAGTAGTTTACAAACAAAAGGTTCCTCCGGTTTTCTCAGTCGGACTAGTCCAGGCGAAATTTTTAAAAAAGTATGAATAACAGGGCAGATTTGATTCTGGATTCCTTACAAAATTGAATGAGACCTGTCGGTTATCACCAAAATATCAAATAACAACAGTTTTGATAATCAATAAATTGTGTAATTTATCAGGATATATCAATATCAATACAATTCACTTATTCCATCTTCTACAATAGAGGATCTGGAGTGTCGTTAGTTTCCCAGAGTTGCTTCCTTTGTTGGATTTGTGACATTGGGTGACCTCACTGGAGTCACTTCCTGGGAGTTAATCTTGTCTGCCAGCCACACAAGGGATAACCCACTGGTGAGTCGGAGGCCTGCCCCGCATACTCCACCTAGTGACTGTTAATGCTTTAT